CTTAAGAATACTGTTGTTGGAAAATATAGGCTCTGCGACCACTAGCTGTTGATGCTGTTGTTCGTTGGTTTGGACCGAGGTGAACCTTGATTTGCTACCCAGCCCCACGTTCGACATATTTTGAGGACACTAAATTTGGTTTGCTGGGGTGGGTGACCCGAGGTTTCCTAAAAATGGTGGTGCCCCGGAATCATCCAAAATTAGTCCATTTTGGTATTGAAACCTGGGCTCCCCCCATTTCACGAAACCCCATTTCAGTTTCCTTGTTATTTGAAGAGTTTGATGGGCATAACTTCAGGGCCCGTCTTCAATTTCTGGTCAAAGCGACACAGGCCCTGCGTCCTACCCCCGCTGGCCTTGCCGATGCTAGGCTTCGAAAACCGGGGAAACCTGGAGTGGCAAACTGGGAAAATCGAACCAAACTGAAAGCAGCCAGGTTGTGTGGCAAAACATTGTGTTGCTGCAATTAACCCATTTTGTCTTATTTTGTAATATTTTACCTGTACTGTAATATCGTACAATATTGTACCTATCCATAGATCTATCGATCTATCTATCTGTGATATCGATCGATCATCGATCTATCGATCTACCGATATCGGTTTATCGATTTATATCATGGTTTATCGATCTATCGATTTTTCGATCTATCGATCTACCTACCAATGAAATCTTTATAGATCCACTTTAGTTTTCTAATCTAATCTGGACTAATCTATCTATCTGAGGTATTCTAAAGTTATAATTAAATTTTAATATATGTATATTTATATATATATATACATATATATATATACGAATTTGGAATACCCTAAGAGTCCGACGTCAAAGTTTAAACTCAGAATTTGCCTGGGAAGTTAAACTTCGCATTTGCCATGGGGATGTGTGTTGGATTATTCCTTTGTATTTTTGTGCTGTGTGGTCAGTGAGTGGCTCAATTCAAAATGGAATTGATTTGAGTGCCATAGCTTGTGAGGCTTGCCCTTTCAAGATACCAAAATTCAACTTAACTCTACTGAATAATTCTACTGAAGAATGACAAGAGATAGCAGGAGTTGGGGGAAACGTGCTGCCGCTTTCGCAGTGGCCATCACCGATTTGTGGGTCGTGATTTTATCTTCATGCAGTGACTTTCACGTGTCTCCGTATCGGAATCTGATACTGTAATGTGCAAAGTGGTCAACAAGACCGGTTGGGTCAAGTCTTTTTTGTGGATCTGACCCCTTCGAATTGATAACACGCTACAAGCTTTGTTGCTAACCCAGTTGCTAACCCTGCTATGTGGGATGATATGGATAGATTGGGACAGCCGGCGTTTCATGAAAGAGCCAGCAAAGTAGGATCATCCGCTGTTCCTGCGCATCTTTTCCACGACTTTCCACGCCATGGTCACAACATGAGAAGTTGATCTTGGATCGGACAATTCTTAAATTCCATGATGAATTTGATGTTTGGGAATTTGGGACAGCTTGAAATCTCTCTTGAAAAATACCCCGGATCAATACTTTTCTGGGCTTTCATATTGCAGGGGGGATATTTGTGTAGGAGATGATCAAGATTTGGGGGATTACTCAACCAGGATCGACATGTATCTATTTTATTTGGCCTTGACATATCTCAAGCCACATGACTCAGAGAACATCTGAGGGATCTCATCCCTCTATATCCCTCTGAGTTGTCCAGGTTGACCAGCAAAAGTACGCGAAGCTTCAGCGAATTCGGTGAAACTAGGGCACCATGGTTGGTAGCATAGATCGGTTAATCCGTTGAAAACTGACTTCGTTGTTTCCTTGGTAAATCTCAGCCTGCGCTTGCACCCACACTACAGCTGGCTATTTTAAGCCTAAACCACAACAGCACAGCTGGATGAACATGCTGATTTATTTAGTGGCTAGTGTTGCAACAGATGTATCGGGATGTATCAGGGTGATGGTGGAAAATGGAGATCCCGAGAAATCGCATTGTTATGAAGGTTTCCGAAGGTCCTGCTCACCGACTCTTGCATTTTTATTCCCAATGACTACCCGGAAAGATGCGGAATGGCATGTTCTGGCTCACAGGCTTGGACGTGTCATGAATTGGCTTATCCATGCTTATCCCGTGCGATAGAAGCCACCAAACCTTTCTTTGTATATACTGTAGCATTCATGATAGCAGTTGCTTTGCACGAGATATTGAAATGGATAACACCTATTCCTGTTCATAAGCACACACACAAGCACCCAAAAAGGCTTTGTGGCTGAGCACACATTCCAACATACTGTCCATGCATGTATTAGAAGCCTTTGGCACGCATTGATTGGGGTAAACCTTGGTTGGGCAGTTTTATATTTTTCCCCTGAAATGGGTATATCAAATGCATCATATTATATATTCAGGTTTCCCTAAGATCAGCAATGAGTACATACTGTGGATGGTTGCGACATCCTGCACCAGCTGGTAGATTGTTTATAAGCTTGTTTCTTTCAGCGTTTCACACTGTAGTTCCCAACACTTACCAACTGGTGCAGGATGGCTTGTCCAAGCCATGACGCAATTTCTGTGCCAAGCTTTGGGCGTTTTGACCATGGCCCAAAAGGGCACTGCCCGTAACGCCGCAACCCCGCCCCGCCTTTGTTAGGACTTGCCGTCCGGCAAGTCAGTGGGGTCAGTGATTCAACGCGCCATAGAAAAGGGGTGGATCAGGTGGATCAGGTGGATTTGATTCATGCTAGGATTTCATGAGATCTAATCAACCCAAGCTTACATGTACATGTTATTCATGAAATTCAGCCCACTTATAGCAGTTTTCATCCATTTACACAAATATCTAGCCCCTGGGGTTTATATACAGTTAATATTTGAGAGCATGTATCTGAAAATAATGGATTTCAGGTGGATTTTCTGATATTTTCTGATTTCCCAATGGAAAATCGGAGGCAATGTAGCTTCAGCACTCTTTCAAGAGAAACTATGATGACCAGCTACAGTTTGTCTTTGTGTCATTCCAGACATTTCCAGACTCACCTGATATCTCTTCCAAATAGGTGACGTGGCTGGATAGGCCTGCATCTCTCGGTTTTTTATACCTTTCTCTTCTTAAAGTGAGGGTGCCCCCAATCATCCAAGTCGCTAGACATCATTTGGCTGGTCACCGTTTGGGCTCTAGTGAAGAGCTGCTCCGTTTAGGCCAGATCCATCAAACCAGCCCTGCAAATAAAACACACAAAGAAGTCATGGAAATGACATATCATAGAAATATCACTGAACCACTACATAGCAATATCGGCAATATGAATCAATATTATGTGTTTCTCGGTATAGAAATATTATGAGATGCCTGTTGGAGTATGTGACCTTGGTCGATGGATATGTGGATATATTGAAACTGAAAAGGATTGGTGGCATTTACAAACATTTCCCCCACGGCAAAATCAGGCCGAATAGAACCAATGAACCCTTGATGTGCCGCATGGATTACCCAAACATTGGGTACTCCCATGGAAATCCAATGATTTGTCATGGTCTTCCTTATTTAAATGGCCAGCGCTTTGGGTATAACCCATTTTGTGCAAACCATCTCATATCCCTGGTTATATTACAGATAAGAATAGATTATGTTAGATTAGATCAGGTACCAAGTGGTCTTACACATCCACCGTTCCCGTTACGTGTTGGGGCGCAGACATGAGCCATGACACTTCTACGGGGCACGCGCTTCAGGCACTGGCAATGTGGGGTCAGGATAAAGCCTTTGGTAGTTCCCGAAAAGATAGACTACATTATATATATATAGCTGACAGCCAGAATCCATATTATATAATTGAAATATCTATCGCCAACTACATGTGTCAACTACACAATGGCATTGATATTGAACATAGACAACAGTTTCTTGTTATTTAGTGCAATTTTACAGTTCTCCATCATTTTTTGGGATTGCTACAGATGGGTATGGCCCAAAGTTAATAAAACTTCTGGGCGCCAGTCGTACGCGAATTTTGAGCCATGAGCCCATTGGAATGGGTGAAAACCCGTGAGTGTATGAATCCGGGACTTTGAAGATCAATTTAGATTACATGCCATGCTATTTTGATGGTAGGGTTTTGATAGCTACCTAGAGATTTCCAAATAGATTCTGACAGAATCTGATGGATTGACTGGGTATTCCATGTGGAGATGGCAGCAGATGTCGCTTGATTTTGTCCGACGGACTGCAGCCAGATTTGCGTTTTTTTTTTCCAATTTTGACCAAAGTTTTCATACATCCACTTCTTGATTCTGTCAGTTGGAGGGTTTTCAGCTGCAACGATCAACGCAAGCGATCTTCCAGCCCTTTGTCTCTGACCCCAAAAAATGAAAGGATGTTGGTGTTTAAACCACCCAGCAGCTTCAAGTCGCCTAGCGGCTGTTCTAGCAGTGACAGCCTCGTGGTGGGAGTTCAGAGCTTGCTTCCTTAGTTGCAACGCATAGATCATCATAGGGCCATTGAATGGCTGGTTAATCTGAATGGTGGGTGTTCTTTTGCATCTTTGCATCCCTGTTTTTAGTGGACATCTCTCCAATTTTGTGGGATGTGTAAAGGATCTTGTGGGTCCATGCTAGAGGCAACGGCCTGTACAGGGAGGATTTGGGAGAAGGGATCGCCTCAACCCAGCCATGCGCTTTGCTCTGTGGCTTCGACCAATTTCGTTGTTGAAAATGGCCGTGCTTCGAGTTCCATCATTTCTGAATGGATGGTGTTTGATTGTGTTTGATGTATTTTCCAGTTAGATCACCAGGATTTCCGTAGCGTTCTTACCTCTCTTTAGTCGTGCATCATTCTGGAACTCCAAAAGCAGTTTCTGATATTGATGCTGTGCCTCTTGGCATTGGTCTATCCCCAGCATATTGCGCCCGGCAGCACAGCAACTTCTCTTTGTCATGTTTCGTGTGGGACGGTTTGGTGGCACCAGCCTGCTCAAGCGATCCGAAGCGATCTGAAACAGCGATTCACCTCGCTCGGCCTCGATCTGTGAGTCATGATGAAGTCGTTGCTGCTCCTTGGTGCTGTCTTCTTCGGGGCTGAAGCAGAGTCCCAGGAGATTCAGAAGCTCTTGGCTTATGCACGTGGCTTGGAAAATATTGGAGAAAGTGGAACATGCGGATCACAAGGGAACTTGGAGCATTCTGAACATACGAGTCAGAAACACGTAACTACATCGTAATCACTTAATTCATCTTAATATATCTTAATTCTACAACTGTCATGACACCCGCAGAACAACTTGTTGGACACGTTACAATTACAATTACATCTTTTTTGGGCAGCCTTGAACTGGAAATCAAAACCCCGTGGAGTGCTCCAAAATAAAATCTTGAGGCTTGAGCCCGAAATATTTCTGCGAAATAGTGCTGTTTGAGGTGTTTATGGTGGGTTGGACCCACGGATTCTATTCACCCCGCTTCGCGTGGGGTGGCCGCCCACACCGCAGGTTTATTTCGGTCCGTGAGAGGGGCTAAGGGTGGTTTTCCCCCGTGGGGGCTCTTCAAGCTAAGAAGTTTCAATAAGAAATCCTTCCAAAACATTGTTTTTGACAGTGTTTTTCCAATGTTTCCAGTCAAACAGACGGTAATTTACACGTTTTTTGCCATAAAGGCAGTAAATCCTTCCAAAACATTGCTTTTGACAGTGTTTTTGTAATGTTTCCAGTCAAGCATACGGTAATTTACACGTTTTTTGCTATAACGTCAGTCCAAAACACTTGTTTTTGCAGTGTTTTCAATGCTCTGGCATCCAAAAACCCTGCAAAATCTTGCTATGTACAATGTTTTTTTCATTTTTGGCCGTTTTTCCATTGCCGGAAAGCTACCAAAATGACCCAAAATTCCATTTCAATACCCTCTTGCGCTCAGACACCCAAAAATCCTCGAAAAATGTCGGAAACACCACCGTAATTCTGGTCTCGGTGCGAAACCGTTTTTGGCCCCCCCCCCCAGCTAAAGCTGATATAGCGACTGCTATATTAACAAGTGTCATTGAGCATTTAGTGTTGCTGTTGCCCCCCAATAAGCACGCCTTCACCGCCAAAGCGGTGTGGGCGGATTTTCTGGGGAAGCCTCGTGATCAGGATCTCAACAGGTTCTGCTGTTGGATGGGCAAGAGGTTGGGACCCTGTTAATTTTATTTTTTGCCTGTGTCAGTCGCAATAATGTCGATATGTTTGGTATCGACTGTTGTCATCGCAAGAAAAGACAATTTGACAGCTACTGTAAACATGCAGCAATATCATGTAATATCTATAATCATGGATTTGCTGGGCAAAACTGTTGTTCTACAATCAAACCGTCCCAGCTAACTTGAACCAGTCCGTAGTCCAAGGGTTGGGCACAGGTTCTTTTTCATGTGGATTTCGGTCTTCATGTTTTTCACTGTTTTTTTCATGTTCTTTTTCACTTGGATTTTGTTTTTTGCATTTACAATTTCATGTCGTCAGCCAGTTCCATGTTTTTGTCAACTTGTTTTGGTGTTTTCAACTTTTTAATTATATTTTCATGCTGTCAAACAAGTCCGTTTTTCATTTGTTTTTTGGGTTTGTGTTTCCTGTTCATTATGTTCTCGTGTCGCGTCATGCTGTCTTGTGTTTGTTTCCTGTTTGTGTTTACAGTTATACATTCAAATTGTTTCTTTTGCAAAGTTCCGCATCATTTTCCAAGACATTTTGGCTGAGAAGCAAAGCAAGCATTGCTAATGAACAAGATACATGCCATGAAGCCAGCCACATGAAAATCCGATGAAATTAAGAAACACGATAATCTATGATAATCCTTGGAAAGAAGATGTAGATGAAAATGAAAAACATATGAAAACAACATTAAACAACATACTATAACTTCCCTTGGGTAGAGGCTGCATGATTTTCATAACATTACAACAATGTTACCTTCCCAGCCTTCCGTTTTTTCCATTGCTAAAGTGAGGTCAGCTGAATCAGACCTTGGGCTCACTGGCTGGCCACGCCGCGAAGACGCGCCGCTTGCAACAAACCTTGACGCTTGCTCCGATGCCTGAGGGATGCCCAGCAGCATGCGACGGAATCCAATGCGCCTACGATGACTCACAAGCGATCATCAATCAGATCAATGGAGGTGGAAGTGACATGACATGACCATGTCATGTCGGGAAGATGTCGGAACATGTTGGAACCAAGCTATATGATCACTTTCTGCGGTTTGTTGTTCCTTGTTCTCCAGGGCAACACGGCGCCTAATTCCTTGGACTTCATTGCCGCAGCACTGAAAAAAGTGAGGTACAACTATACTAGTTTCTAGTTAAAGCACGTTTCAGCAATCTGGAAGGATTATGTGCAATAGTTCTAGTGTCACCTGGTCTGTTCGGCATAATTTGGCAGTGACTTACCATATATATATATATATACCAGTAGTACCGCACAAGGCGGTGGCGGAAGTTTCAAAAATAGGAAACCTATAGGAGGGGTTGGTTGTGGTGAATCAGGGATGGCAGAGCGAAGCCGCTGATGGATCGAAAGGTGATTGATCTCTCTCACTCTTTCTCTCTCTTTCTCTGACTACCTATCTGTCTATCTATCTATCTATCTACCTAGCTGTCTATCTATCTATCTATCTAGCTATCTATCTATCTGTCTGTCTGTCTGTCTATCTGTCTACCTGTCTATCTGTCTATCTGTCTATCCATCTATCTATCTATCTGTCTATCTGTCTACCTGTCTATCTGTCTATCTATCTCTCTATCTATCTATCTCTCCCTTTCATCTGTCTCTCTGTCTATCTGTCTAGCTGTCTGCCTGTCTATCTGTCTATCTATCTATCTATCTATCTATTTATCTATCTATCTGTCTACCCGTCTATCTGTGGTGCAGTGTCATTCAGTGTAATGTAGTGTAGTGTAATGTAGTGTGGTGTCGTGGAGTGTGGCGGAATGTAGTGTAGTGTAGTGTAGTGTAATGTAGTGTAGTGTAGTGTAATTTAGTGTAGTGGAGTGTAATGGAGTGTAGTGGAGTGTAGTTCTGTGGTTGTAGTTGTAGTTGTAGTGTAATGGAGTGTAGTGTAGTGTAAGGTAGTGAAGTGTAGTGGAAGATAGTGTAGTATAGTGTAATGTAGTGGAGTGTAGTGTAGTGTCGTGTAATGTGGAGCGTAGTGTAGTGTAGTGTAGTGGAGCGTAGTGTAGTGTAATGTAGTGTGGTGTAGAATAATTTAGTGTAGTGGAGTGTACTGGAGTGTAGTGTAGTGTAATGTAGTGTACTGGAGTGTAGCGTAGTGTAATGTCCTGTAGTGTAGTGTAGTGTAGTGTAGTGGAGTGTAGTGCATTGTAGTGTAGTGTAGTGAAGCGAAGCGACATCTGAACCTCCAAAGGTGGTCCGAACCCCTAGATTTTAAAACATTTTGACTTCGAAATGTGCTTCGCGCCACAACGGCATGCACTTTTTCGACATCCGAGCCTCCAAAAGTGGTCCGAACCCCTAGATTTTAAAACATTTTGACTTCGAAATGTGCTTCGCGCCACAACGGCGTGCACTTTTTCGACATCTCAACTTCCAAAAGTGGTCCGACCATGGTGTGCTTTGCACATTTTGACTTCGAAATGTGCTTCGCGCCACAACGGCGTGCACTTTTTCGACATCTCAACTTCCAAAAGGGGTCCGAGGCTGAGGTGTTTTGCACATTTTGACTTCGAAATGTTCTTCGCGCCACAACGGCGTGCACTTTTTCGACATCTCAACTTCCAAAAGTGGTCCGACAATGGTGTGTTTTATGCATTTTGACTTCGAAATGTGCTTCGCGCCACAACGGCGTGCACTTTTTCGACATCTCAACTTCCAAAAGTGGTCCGACGCTGAGGTGTTTTGCACATTTTGACTTCGAAATGTGCTTCGCGCCACAACGGCGTGCACTTTTTCGACATCTCAACTTCCAAAAGTGGTCCGACAATGGTGTGTTTTATGCATTTTGACTTCGAAATGTGCTTCGCGCCACAACGGCGTGCACTTTTTCGACATCTCAACTTCCAAAAGTGGTCCGACCATGGTGTGTTTTGCACATTTTGACTTCGAAATGTGCTTCGGTGTTTTGTACATTTTGACTTTGAAATGTGCTGCGCGCCACAACGGCGTGCACTTTTTCGACATCTCAGCTTCCAAAAGTGGTCCGACAATGGTGTGTTTTATGCATTTTGACTTCGAAATGTGCTTCGCGCCACAACGGCGTGTAATTTTTCATCTCTCATCTGGCCAGCTGGCTCCGCACCCGCCGCTTTAGCGAGCCTACTTTTCGACCCTCCGGAGCCCCAAATCTTTGGAAAAACACAGTGTGTCGCGACTTTCCTACCTTTTCTCGCATCTGCATCTTCTTTCTTCTTGCTCTTTCTCTTCTACTCTTCTTTCTTCTAATCTTTCTCTTCTCTCTGCCTCTTCCCTGCTCTGGCTTTTCATCTGTCCATATTGTCGGAAGTTTGACTTCTAAACTTCCTTCGATTATATAACTTGTCTTGGAAATCTTGGAAGAACTGGTCTATTATTCGTAATATTACGTACTATATTATTTGTATACATTATTATTTGTTTTATTATTTATTGGTTTTTAAAATTATTATTACTATTCCCTGCGAACCAAAGACCTCGTTAAACTTGATCGTTTCAATGAACATGTTTTACTTGTAAAAGAACGTACTTTACTTGAGCTAATTTTTACCAACGCTCCGTTGATGCAGTGGACAAATGCGTTTTATCGACAAATCACTGCAAATCATTCTCCCAACTGGTTGAGTTCCAGGGCTCTTGGTATCAATTTATATCAATTTCATTGTTTGCAATCGCCCTTGACAGCTGCCCACAGCCCGTGAACGTCCCGTCAACAACCCGAAACAAGCCGTGAAACACCCTTGAACCATCCGTGAACGACCCGTGAACCACCCGTGAACCACCCAGGAACCACCCGTGAACCACCCGAGAACCACCCGTGAACCACCCGTGAACCACCCGTGAGACCAGTGTGTTAGAGACACAAAAAACTGGGTTAGAGACCCGCCCGAAAAACTGATTTTGTACCGTGAGCGACCCGTGAAACACCCGTGAAGCACCCGTGAAGCATCCGTGAAGCACCCGTGAATGATCCGGGGACGCTCAATGAACATGCATTAACGGGCAAATGGTTTCCATCTTTTTGCAGGTTCCCAATATCAAATGCAGTCTGTCATAGCACTATATGCATGTCTCTATGAACCAAGTCTCTCTCAAGATAGATTCACAACAGTGATGTTGCTGAAGTGTTGACAGCAAGTGGTTAGAAGGATTTAGAAATGTGATCGGAGAGCGCAATGTCAAATGATCAAGTTAAACTTGTTCTTAACCAATGTGGACAGGTTAAACTGGTCTTTCCGGTTTGCAGGGTACTATCATTATTATGATTATTATTATTAATTAGTATTGTTATTATTATTGTTGTTATTATTATATATTGTTTCATCTTCCAGATGAATCTTCCCCCACATTCCGGCAGGTGACCCCCTGGCCGCCATGAGCGCCGCTGGTGACTTTCTGGGCAGTGTCTGCCTCCATCGGACAGCGATGACCTGCGCCGCGAGCTCCACAGAATGTGGCAACGTGGTGGAATCCAGTGCCTCGGCATAGCTTTTTGCCCCTGTAAACATAGCTTATGATACCATAAAATATATTGAAATATCATGAAATATCCATGATATAAAGATATTATCTGTGTGATGTATGATAATATCTGAAGGATTTATGATAGTATCTGATCGATTCACTGATGGGTTTATAATGGAATTATGATAGGTAATGTTGGTAAAACAATGTCATAAGCGAACCCCATGGCTGGGAATGGTTTTTGGTTACCCATAACAATGGTGATGACTGGAGGATGGTTTATTTGCGTTTTATTAACATTTAACCACAGTACACCTTTGATTTAGTTTGTATATGAATGATGATGTATATATATATATTATACACAAAAAATAGATATATTTGAAAAATATGTCCGCAGTAATAGTCTTTGATCATCCATTTGAAGCTCAACATGAAAGCGGACAAAAAGGGTATTGCTGAATTTCATTGAATTTCCACCGATCTATGGCCCTGGAGGCTCCCTGGCTTTTGTGCCTTGTGTTTGCGATGCTTGCCCACAATTTCCCAAGATCTACGACGGCATGGGAGCCCTGATGACCGACCTCTCGCAGATGTCAGGAGGCACTCCAACGGCGGAACAGCTGGATTCCCTCCTGACTGCTTTTTGCCCTATGTCGTCCATTCTCGAGTGTTTGGATTCCAACCCGGCATGCTCATCAGCCGTGGCATCGATGGGCGACGCTGGCTCTAGTCTCTCCGGATTGGCCACCATGCAGTCCCAGTGTGCAGCGGCCGGGAAGCCAACCTCCTATGCCACAACCTACAGCTTCACGTCGCCGACTTGTCCTGCCCAGGAGACTAGTGGCGCGGATGGATTGCTGCAGCTGAACTTGCTGGCAGGCTCCTTGCTTTCCATTCTCAGCTGAATGTGAAGGCACCGGCAAGCCGTTGCTGAAGCATTGGCAGGTCCCAAGGACTTGCCCTTTGCACGGCAAACCGCTGTCGAAGGATTGGCAGGTCCAAAGGACCTTCCCTTTGCCCCTTGTCCCTTTCGGCGGGCAGCAGCGCGTTCTTTCGTCACGACGGACACCGTCGCTGTCAAGCCTCATCTTAAGATTACTGTTGTTGGAAAATATATGCTCTGCGACCACTAGCTGTTGATGCTGTTGTTCGTTGGTTTGGACCTAGGTGAACCTTGATTTGCTACTCAGCCCCACGTTCGACATATTTTGAGGACACTAAATTTGGTTTGCTGGGGTGGGTGACCCAAACTCCACATTATGAACGCTGATGAGCATTTGGAGGTTTCCTAAAAATGGTGGTACCCCGGAATCATCCAAAAGTAGTCCATTTTGGTATTGAAACCTGGGCTCCCCCCATTTACGAAACCCCATTTCAGTTTCCTTGTTATTTGAAGAGCTTGATGAGCATAACTTCAGGGCCCGTCTTCAATTTCTGGTCAAAGCGACACAGGCCCTGCGTCCTACTCCCGCTGGCCTTGCCGATGCTAGGCTTCGAAAACCGGGGAAACCTGGAGTGGCAAACTGGGAAAATCGAACCAAACTGAAAGCAGCCAGGTTGTGTGGCAAAACATTGTGTTGCTGCAATTAACCTATATTGTCTTATTTTGTAATATTTTACATACCTGTACTGAAATATCGTACAATATTGTACCTATCCATAGATCTATCGATCTATCTATCTGTCGGTCCATCTATTGACATCGATCGATCATCGATCTATCGATCTACCGATATCGGTTTATCGATTTATATCATGGTTTATCGATCTATCGATTTTTCGATCTATCGGTATACCCTACCAATGAAATCTTTATAGATCCAATTTAGTTTTCTAATCTAATCTGGACTAATCTATCTATCTGAGGTATTCTAAAGTTATAATTACATTTTAATACATGTATATTTACCTAGCGCATCAAGAACCCACAAATTTGTAGGTCTTTTTCCAAAAACCCGGTTTTTCTCAGAAAATATAGTTTTTTTTTCTTCACTAGGGAAAAAAACCTACTTTTTCTCACACTTGGTGTCATGACATCTCATGATTCCTTCCCTTAGACGATTCAAACCCCTTTATTGATACCAGCCTTGGATCTATCCCTCTCAGTACCCTTCATGTTGATTATACTTCCACCCCGCTGGCTTTGGCTGGCAGTTCTCACAAGAAAGGGCCCGATGCTCTTGGAACATGCCGGACAACATTAAGTGTGATCACAGTCAATCTGGAGTCGTTGGATGATTTTTTCCCAAGAACCACCCCTAGAAGCATAAATTGAAACATGGCTGTATTTTGTTCATTGGGAAAAAATGATTCTGGATTGCCAAAGTCCAACAAACAGCCGAAGAAAAGTATCGAACAAATTAACAAAATCATGAAAAATCAATCGGCATTTTCAGTTTTTAATCATTTCGGATGACAGTTTTAGGGTCTGTACTCAAAAAATGCCCAAAATCCATATTTAAGCCGTACCAAGCCGTACGAAACCCATATTTAACCCGTACTAAACCCATATCACGAAAGCTAGCGTCAGCTAGCTGGAGTCTTCTTGCTTTAGCAAGTATTCCGGGGGCTGCTCAAGGACATCGCGCGATTTTTCACGCGAAAGGGGGGAGACACCCCCCCCTTGTTTTTGTTTCGACCTAATACCTACATAGGTACATGCATGAGTATTGAGCACATTTATATGCGCCTTCAAGGCTCAAGAAAGAGGTATATAGAGTAACCCTGTAGACAAGCACTGACCGGCAACAGGCTGAGAGTAAAAGAGTGCTGTCATTGGGGAAGACGCCTTAGCTGATCTTGAAGTAGACGCTAGGGCCCCTCTTCAAGTGGTAGCGGAGCAGTGATCCCTCATTGAGGGTGAGCTCCAGGTAGAGCCCAAGCAATGGCACGCCATGGCTATGATGATGATGACTTCGACATTGTCGATGCAAATGAATGGAACCAATATGACTCTTATGCAATGAGAAGAGCACCCCAGCATACACAGATTCATATGACGCAACAGATGACCACAAAGGTTGCTCCAGCCTATGATGGGCGAACCAGCTTCTTTGCTTTTGAGGATGCAATCGATGACTGGTGTGACATTACGGAGTTAGAACCAGAAAAACGTGGTCCAGCATTGCGCAACAGACTGGAAGGAGATGCTCAACAATACAAGAGGCTATTGGATAGAGAATTACTCAGGGATCCCTATGAAGGAGTGGCTTATTTCAAAAGATTTCTACGACCTCATTTCATCAAAGGTGCCCAGAACGTGTTCTTATACCGTTTCATGCAGTTCATGAAGTTCAACAGAGGAACCATGGATCTTCAGAAGTGGATGACTAGATTTCAACTCACTGGCAATAGACTTATTGAGTCTTGGATGGATTTACTTCCAGAGGTAACAGTGACTAGTCCTGAAGCAATCCTGTTTGTTCAACAACGACGTCAAGAACATGAACGAGATCAACAAGAGAGAGCTGAAGTAGCAGCAGCCTCAGGAACACCCCATGTAGCTGTTCCTTGGACAGATGAACTGGCACTAGTGGCATTCAGACTATTTCAGGAAAATCGTAGAGAAGCACAGCGACAAGCATTCCCACTGGGTGAAAATTTGCTAGCATTGATTTTTGTAAGTCTAGCTGACCTGAGTCAAGATCAGAGAAACCCACTCACAAGTATCATGACACATCGTGGACGAACCCTCGATCGATACAGCATTCAAGAACTACGTGACCTGTTCTTGGAAATGTTTTGCACTACCAAAACAGCAGTTGACAATCCATTGATGCAACCCTCTGGCATGGCACAGAGAAGATCTTTCCTCGTACTGGATGAAGGTGAATTAGAAGGAACCGACGGCTATTGGGCCGAAGATGAAGAAGACGGCGCAGAAGGATTCCTGGATGCTTTAGAAGATGTTTTCTGGGTTTATGATGACGCCAACTTCACATGGTATCAGAGAAGGTTCCAAGGCAAATACATCAGACGAGGCAAAGGTAAAGGAAAGAGAAAAGGAAAAGGAAAAGGCAGAGGAGGACGAAGATTCTTCAGATCAAGAAAAGGAAAAGGCCGAGGAAAAGGAAAAAAAAAGGCCGCTCTCACATGGTGAGTGAAGAAGGTTATGAAGATGAATGGCAAGATGATGAAGGGAATGAAAACTATGACGGCTATTGGGCTGATGATCAAACCTGGAATGAAGGCTATTGGGCCTATGATGATTCATACTACATGGATGAGTATGGATATTTCCAGAGGAAAGGAAAAGGAAAAGGAAAAGGAAAGAAAGGCAAGAAAGGCAAGGATGATGATGGCAAAGGAGGAAAGCCAGGAGATGGAAAAGGCAAGTCGAACTATGTTCAACCTCAACCCACATCAGTTCCTGCCATACAGAATCAACAAACTCAACAAGCTCATTATTCTTCTGCAGCTTCAAGTTCTGGTCATGGTTTCTTTTCATTTGGAACAACTGAACCAGTACGTGTTGATGTTGCAGAGACAGAGCCAGCACGTGTTGATGTTTTGACATCCACGTATGCAGCACAAGATGAACAACGACGTACTCGTCGTGGAGGACAGAACCAACGTGATGCAAGAGCACATCAAAACAGGAGAGAAATGAAGAGATTCCCTGTTCTGGTTGGAGAAGTTGGTGCACTACGACAAGGTGTACAACAACGTCCAGCTGTAGTGCCCAGGCAAGTTGGTCTTCAAGAAGGTGAGGCTTCATGGAAGCCATTGGCAGAAGGCACATCATTGTTTTCACATGGATGCTCTACAGAGATAGAGGAACCATCACAGCAGAGTGCTTTTTCATTTCATACTGTACAAACTGATCTGGCATGTGAGAATGGACTAGCTTTTCACACAGAGAATTCTGCACCACCAACTGTGTGTATTCTGGATCTTGGATGCACAAGAGCTATGGGCTCTCGACGAGCAGTTGAAGCATATTGCAGATATGTTGACTCACATCCCAACAGTGGACTCTGGTATGAAATTCAGCCAACAAGTTCAAGATTTTTCTTTGCAAACCCACAACAATCAAAATGTACTGAGAAGCTCGTGATATTCATGTATGATCATGGATGGAACACTCAGTTTACAGAATTCGACATTGTCGAAGAAGGTGATGTCCCATTGTTGATGTCACTTCCACAGATGAGAAACCTTGGATTTCAATTTGAACTTACTCCAGAGAAGGCCTTTTTGTCCTGTGCACGTATTGGCATGAGAAAAATGGTTTTGAGGACAGCCATCAGTACTCATCTCATTCTCGACCTACAAGATGTAGCGTGGTACATGAGCCAAGTTTATTTCAAGACTCCTCAAGTCAAAAGTTTTTATTCACAACACGATCACTTTGAGTACAGTCAGATTGCTGTCAAACAAGATGATCATGAAGGAGAAGCTTTGGTGACTGGTGACTACTGGCAGGTTGATCCACTACGTCGTGAACTCATCAGGCACCACAAAGACAAGAGAATGAACTTACATGAGATGACTCGATCAGAGAAAACTCCAATTCCAAAAGATCAACTTCTTGATGAGAGAGAAACCCGCATTGAATTCCAGAAGAGCAAGAAGAAGGTTCTTCACAAGGACAACTGGCGCACTGAGAAGAAGAGGTTTTCTGAACAGAGTGAAGAGTTCTGGAAGGGCAAGACCATCTACAAGATCAAGGAGGACTACGTGATCCCAGAGGAGATTGTCAGAAGTGACATTGATCGTGCAAAGCCCTTTCGTGGAAACATTGATGATCTTTTTCACCCTGAGTCAGCCTCTTCAGTGCCATCAGGTGTACAGAAGAAGAAGCCAAGCTCCTTAAAGAAGGAGGAAGGCAAACCGATTTCAAATGGACCAGGCTCGAAAAAGATTGAGGTAGGTCCACCTGCAACCAAAAGACACGTAGGTAAGCAGAAACCTCAGGTTGTCGATGACTCTCAATCAGGTTCATCAAGAAAGAAGGTTGTTGTCTCCTATCCCAAGCTTGATGAAGAAGATGAGCTTGATAAGGTAGCTAGGGAATTAGGTTTGGACAAGATTGATTCAGATGAACCTCAAGTCATTGAACCAAAACATTCTGCACCTGCGCGCAACCGTGGTAAGCAAGATTCAGAA